TTTACTCACATGCATACTTTATTTCTTTAGAATCTTTTCTAAGTATGCCTTTGCGATAGTCCTAATACCCCATTTTCTTCTATCTCGGTGAATTTCGATTCCTCGAACCAATGACGCTTCACCAAGATCATTCACATTGAAACTTGAGGACAAAACTTCTTCTCCAATGATAGATTAACATCACTACTAATGAGTATAATGTCATCTATTCATAGGATATGGAAAGTGATTTTTCTATTCTTGAGCTTTGCATAAACGCTATTGTCCTTCTCATTTTCTTTAAAACCCAAACTTACTTTTAACTCATAAATGGATTTCTATAGGCGGCATCCCATACGTTTTTTCTTCCATGACAAAAATCTTTTGGGTTATGTCATGTAAACGTTTTCATATAAATCCCCGTTGAGGAATGTCGTCTTTACATCCATCTGATGTAACTCTAAATCATAATGTGCCATTAAACACCATTATGATTCTAAAAGAATCCTTACATAAGACTGAAGAGAAAACTCTCATTGTAATCTTATATCTTTCTACATTCTTTTTGGAGTCACATTTTGTCTTGTAGACCCATTAACAGCCTATTGTTTTGGTTTCATTAGGAATTACTTCTAAGTCCCAAACATCATTGGTATTCATCGAATTAATTTCAACTTTCATAGCTTCTTGCCATTTGAATGAGTAAATGCTTCTCATGGCTTCTTCAAGTGATGTGGGATCACTTTTCATTTGAATTTCTTTACTAACTTAGACTTCATAGTCATCAGAAAAACTAGTTTACTAATTCTTTGAGACCTTCTGGGGCCTCAGCTGCTGGCACTTTCATATAGGGCTGTTGTTGCTCTTCATTGCCAAGAGGCAATTGATTCTATAGACTCCTGTATCACAAGATCCTTATTTACACTATTCATCTTGTTCGAAGAGCTAACAACAGGTGTTATATTAGTCATACAACATCAACAGGTATTGAGAAACTTGTTGCTCCTGAGTCACTAGAGTGGGCACACAGTCCCTCTTCTCTTCAAGTCTTAGGTCTCTACATACCTCTACATACCATGCTTCCCCAGTTCTTTCTATCTTTTTTAAAGATGGTGTATCTTCAAATATCTTTTTTTGGGTTTAATCCGTTTAAAATCTCATACGTCGCTTTAAGCACCATCTTAACATCTTTGAGACTGACTATGCTATTTTCCCGTCGGAACTTTCAAAAGTCCAAGAATTTAGCTATTTCTCTCCTTAAGGGTATCATTGATGTGACCGTTGTACTCCTCCGATGGTCACATTCATCTTAATTAATATTTATCTCACTCTTAATGAAGAGTATCTTTCTTAGTTGATCTTTAAATTTCTCCCCCTTCAAATATGGCATGAACTTTACTGTCATAATTTCGACAACTATTCAAAAAGCCTATAAACGAGTAGACACTTATAACTTACTTCATTCATATGATTGTGTCATGTAAACAAAGTTATTTCTTGATCCGTTTAGGAGTACATTTTCCTTAATTCACTTTAAGAACTCAACGAGGTCTTTCATTAGCGGTGCTTTTGTAAGTCAGACTTGCATCTTTTCTTATCTTTTGGTTAGTATTGACCATAACGATGTATTTCTATTATGCCAAGGTCAATACTAGGACAGCATAAGAGCTAACTAAACTTCTCTCGCTACGCGGGATACAAAACATGTGAATCATCACAAAACTTCTCCCACCATGCAGAATTGACTAGCATAAGTACTATGCCAAAACTTCTCTCCATGCGGGTTACGTTGATACGAAAAATTAGTCATAACGACTAAAACATTCACTTATACTTCACTTTCTAAATAAATCTTTCCGTTGGTTCCAATTTAATCAGAAAATTAGTAAACTAACAAAAATTATCCTGAACTGGCTTGACTCAAGCCTTTTCATTTACATACCCCAGCATTGCAGCTCGTTGGTATGCAGCCAAGTGACCTCGTTAAATTAAAACATACAAGGTGCTTCTGCATCAATTCTACATCACTGTTGGGTAGAAAATATAATTAATGCATAGAACTCATAAATCAACTTGAAATACATATAACTACTCTTCAAAATTAAATTCTTCCGTTGGTTCAAATTTAATTAGAAGATAATCAACTTTATTGTAGTGAAAACTAAATCAAATATATTCTTTTAGTTCAGGAGCATTTCTTGGTCCTTAACTACTCTCTGAAAATTGACCACGTTGGTGTAAAATTTATGAGAGATTTAAACTTCAAACTTAAATTCATTATAATATTGTCGTCATCAACGTTGGTCAGAAAATGACAATACCATAATCTTACTTAATCAAAAAAATGGACTACTCCTCTAATTAAATTTTTCCGTTGGTTCCAATTTAATTAGAGGATCAACATAATCATAATTTACTAAATATAATTGTTCTTCAAATCAAATTCTCCCGTTGGTTCGAATTTAATTAGAAGATAATCAACATTAAACTTTGCTGTGGAAACATAAAAAATTCTTTATCTACTTTTCAGAAGCATTTTACTTTACTCATCTACTCTCTGAAAAAATTATACCGTTGGTTCAAATTTTGACAGAGATTCAAAACTTGACAAAAATTCATCGAAATTTGCTTCTGAAATTGTCAAAACTGCTTCTAAAAAATAAATAAAAGCTTAAAACATTAGCAACTGTTCATTTGGCCCGGCCTCTGGAAAAACAGTATGCGGCCCAACTCTACAGCGCAGCAGCGCGCGGCCCATTCAGCGAAAACGGCCCACGCCGATCGTGCGAGCCGCCCTCCCCCGCGCCCAGGCCATAACCTGGGCTTGGGTTGGGAATTCAGCCCACAGCGCGCGCTGCTGCACCGCTCCGCCTGGGCCAGCTGACGGTCCAGATGATCTCGGCCGCTGGTTTCCATCCGACGGCCAGGCGTCAATATCGTGAGAACAAAACCCGGCCACGGCTCATCCCCAAAACCCTAATCTCATTTCCGTCAGCAGCGGCGGCCACGGTGACTGTCGGCGCCTATGAGGAAGACAGCCACCGGACCAAGTCCGGCTCCCCTTCCTCCTCTTTCTTTCTCTTCCCTTTCCCCTTCTCTTCCTCAGCGCCGCAGTTAGAGATGACCACGGCGCGACGGCAACCCGTGGCGGCCGGAGAAAAAGAAGGTAGCGGCGCCGTTGCGGGGCCCCTCACCGACGCGCGCTCGCCCAAGGCTGAGCACGTCGCCGTTGAGCGGCCTTGCGGTGGTGCCCTGAGCGCACGCGCGGCACAGCGGAACGCCGGCAAGCCGGGACGGCTCGGGTGGATTCCTCGCGGTGGCGGGGTCACCTTCCCGCACGACGGCAGTGGCGACGCCGACAAGAGAAACCCAGGTAGGTCCCCCTCTTCACGCTGTCCTCTTGCCGGTTAGGGTTACTTCTGTTTCTGTGATCTGAGGTTAGGGTTCGTTCTTGCTACCGGCGGCCATCGGTCCAGATCCGGCGAGCCGTCGTGGTTTCTATCCTGCGGCAGAAAACCGGCGGTGATGGCAAGGTAAAATCCCGCCGTCTCTGATCTAGGTTAGAGTTAGGATTTGGGGAATTTGAAAAACTGTTTATCTCCTTCTAAATTCGTTCTTCTTTTCTATCCAAAGACTTAGATCTACACCCTAGCGTGGCTCTTGATACCATTGATAGACTATTTAAAGATCTCTAGGTGTCAATCCAGTGGGTGTTTAACTTAACTGAAAAGAACTTGCTCATTGTTACCTAGAGTGAATCTTGTCCGAGTCCTCTCGCGTTGGTGTAGGAGTAGCAGTGGCACCGGCGACGATGTTGGAGGTTACGGTGAAGTCGGTGGCGGCTTCCCGTCGCTGGCAGCACCGTCTCTCTTGATCGGATAGCGTTAGGGTTTCTCTGTCTGAGGGTTGCGGCGGCTCATGTCAACCTCATACCTCGTGCCCCGGCCACAACTTCTCTTTTATGGTGCTGTGCGACGGGGCCTCGCCAACCATGGACTGGTTGGATGCCCCTTATCAGGGCGTTGATCCAAGGGCCTAATTGGGTCAATTGGTGGAGATCAAATTAACAGAATCAAGATGTGTACGTATGGATCACATACCAAACCGCGCCCAAACATATAATTGCGACATCGTGCCATGTTCGCTTGGCTGATAAGCCATGACTGAAAGTATTGTTGACTGATTTGTTGTGAAAGAAAAATATTGTTCGTTGGCTGAAAATCTACGGCTTATAAGCGAAGCGAACAGGGCTCCTGATCTTTTCTTTAAAAAAAACGATGATAGATAAACAATAATGTTTCCTGCCTTACTTGAACGTCAGGGCTCCTGATCTTTTCTTAAAAAAACGAACAGAAAACACAGCAACAATACTTCTTTCCTTAATTAAATGACAGAGAGCTCTTGTGTCCTTCCTTAAAAAAAACCGAACAGAAGAATAACAACAATGGCCCTGTTTACATTAGGGTTAGGAATCAGTATTTGGTACTGTAGCACTTTTGTTTATATTTGATAATTATTGTCCAATCATGGTCTAACTAGGCTCAAAAGATTCGTCTCGTAATTTACAATCAAACTGTGTAATTAGTTATTTTTTATCTATATTTAATACTCCATGCATGTGTTCAAAGATTTGATGTGATGGAGAGAGAGTGAAAAAACTTGCAATCTAAACAATGCCAATGTTTCCTACCATAATTGAACCACACAGCTGACAGCTCCTACCCTTTTCTTTAAAGAAACGAACAGAAGAGTAGAATACACACACGTACCTACAGGTACGTATTTGGAAACATGGATCGAAACAAAAAAATAAATATAGAAAAAACAATAAAGAACCATATCTCGAACCACACAGTAACCTCGGAAAATTTGGCGCGCGCGCGCGTATAAATATAGATCTCGTCGTGGCGCTGCATGCCGTCGTGGTCGAATAACCATTGCCAAACCCCTCACGATTCTCCCCGCCGGTCTCGGCAGCACCGCGGTCGCCAACGTACGGCTCTCGTCGCCCGACGACCATAATGGCGGCGGCGGCGGCGGCGGCGACGGCTTGCCGATCTCTTCATCTGTTCTTGGCCGTCCTCGCCGTGTCGGTTAGTGGTAAGCAGCTGTTTGTTCTTATAAATCATGCGTGCATGTCCTGATCGATCGGTCGATCGAATTTGTTGCCATGCACTGTGCCGGTCGTGTTTGGTTTGACTTTGATCTGCAACTGCTAATAAAATTACTCTACTAATCAGGTGTTTTGTCGAAGTCGTTCACCATCACCAACAACTGCGGGTACACGGTATGGCCAGGGATCCTCTCCGGCGCGGGCTCGCCGTCGCTGGAAACCACGGGCTTCGAGCTCCCGCCGGGCGCGTCTCAAACCCTGCAGGCGCCGGCGGGATGGTCGGGCCGCCTCTGGGGCCGCACCCTCTGCACCACCGACGGCACCACCAACAAGTTCGCGTGCGCCACGGGCGACTGCGGCTCGGGCGCCGTGTCCTGCGGCGGCGGCAACGCCGCGCCGCCGGCGACGCTGGCGGCGCTGCACGGCAGCGGCGGCGGCATGGACTTCTACGACGTGAGCCTGGTGGACGGGTCCAACCTCCCGCTGCTGGTGGCGCCGTCTGGCGCATCCCCCGGCGCCGGCAACTGCGCGCCCACGGGGTGCCTGGTCGACCTCAACGCCGCGTGCCCCGCCGACCTACGGGTCGTCGTCACATCGTCGTCCGCCGCCGCTGATGTCAACGCTGATGATGTTGTGGCGTGCAAGAGCGCGTGCCTCGCGTTCGGGTCGCCGCGGTACTGTTGCAGCGGCGAGTACGCGAGCCCTGACACGTGCGGGCCGTCGGCGTACTCGGAGTTCTTCAAGAACGCGTGCCCAAGGGCGTATAGCTACGCGTTCGATGACGCTACCTCCACCTTCACCTGCGCCGGCGGCGACACCGCGTACACCGTCACCTTCTGCCCCGGCACCAATAGGTACGACATCGCGTGTTGTACATCGTTGGTCTCGTCACACCAGCCCAGTGTTGCTTGCGTTGTCAAATTAAACCACAAGAAAGCTACTGATCCACTGAATATAGCAAGAAGACAAGAGCTGATGAGGGGAAGAACCTTTTGGCTTTTGGTCTCTACTGAATCTACCAATCCGAGGCAGTAGGCCATTATTTGATTCATATAGGTCACTGTCATGTTTTTTAAACCAAGTTTATCTACATCTGCAGAAATTAAATATCAACATTTACAACATCAAAATCAAATTGGTTTCACTTAATCTGCCATGCAACAATACGTTTCGAGAGTGCAAATTATTTAATTTCTTGGATATTCGTAAACTTGGTCAAACGTTTTGAGAGACGATGAAGGAAGAAACCACCTGGTTGGCGACCCACTCCTCTGTCCTTTCATGTCTGCATCATTCATCAAACACGTGACGTGACGTGACGTGACGTGACGTTGTTCCAGTTTTATTTCCTCCCCCTGTGCCAGATCAAAGTGCATGCATCCATGCATATTTTTGTAATCGCAAGTTTTTAATTTAATTATTTAATGAAGCTGATAGTTTTTAAATTTGTTCATATGGTTTTCTGATGATTTGTGACGACTGCATGCAGCGTGAAGTCCTCCAGCCCGAACTCAGGCGCACCTGGAGACCTGCCGGTTATCAATGGCACCATGGCATACGCCAGCGGTGACCAGCAGGTTGGCGCCGCCGCTGCTACACCGTCGACGTCGCGCTCCGTCGTCGTGCTTCTGGGTGCCGCCGTCTTGGTCATGCTGGCAGGAGGAGCCTTGTCCTGAACTCTGGGTGACGAGGAGGCGAGGACTTACATACACAAACAAGTATATGCAGGGACCTGACGAACGCACATCAACATTCAGAGATTGGCACGGGAGATGCAATTTAGGTAGTAGTCGGCTGCTTAGAGGGAAACTTCAGCTAGATATATAGCTACAAAAATCCTTCATACAATTGGTTTAGGTATCTTAGCTTCATTTATGCAGAATTTTCCAAGGCAAATTTGTCCTTTTTGCTTCATTTATGCAGAATTTTCCAAGGCAAATTTGTCCTTTTTGTAGGCCTCAGAAATTAGCTTTATTTATCTGAGTAGGGGGATGAAGGTTTGGATATGAAAGTTTTTTTACAATATGATATCTTCGATACAAAGCGTAGGGGACAAAATATTTGGTGATCTATGGGACATGACAAACGAACTTGGGTCTTTGCTCCCCTTTTAACCTGTTGGATTTTATCTGGACTTGGTCTATTTTAAATTTTATTAAAATCAAAATAAATCACAGGACACATACTCAATTTTAATTACGTGTACGAAATTGATGGAAATTTAACTGCAACAAAAATGGTAAATATCCTATATATCTGTTGTGAACTTGATAAAGATGGAAAATATGGAAGCCGACCTAAACCAATCGTGCATGAGTAAATTAATTTGTGTTCACTGAGAATTGTTTTAGAAAATATATCATTGGCCGTTTTATTAGTTAAGCCTCACAAAAGCTTATGAGTGAAGTAGAACTCAACAATTTTAAATATTTAACCAAAAAATAGAACATTTCCAAAAACAAAATCTAATGATATCACTTCATCCTTTATTAGCCTATATATATACCCTTGTGTAACGGTCCGTGCTTTTCTATATACTGGCAAAGAAAAATTGCATGCTATTTTAACAAAAGTTTATAGAACTTCTCTTCGATGTTTCCAAGGCATTATCTAAGAGCATCTTATGAGGGCTCTCAATATATCACAAAATTTAAAAAACAAATAAAAACATGCTTCAATAGACTCTCTAGACTACTGTCCACTTTTTCGCTCTCCAAAACCACCATTCTCGCTCTCGACTTCTATTTGAGTATACTAGGTAGCGTGTTGCTACGGAACAACTAAACATTTGTACTAAAAACACACGGATCGCACGATAAGATAACAATACTATAAAATTAAATACGTACGTTAATCCAAAAAGCAAAGTTCGTGAAATTAATAGTCACGCATAGCACAGCGTCGTAGACTCGCAGATTGTATAGACCTTTCCGCACAACATGGGGGTTGTTGGCATTCGCATTGCCTCAGGTCATTGCGTTGCGGGTCAGCTCCGCCGCGCGCGTGTCGCCGTCTCCGTCACCTCCGTGGCACATCAGCTCATGCCGCCAGCCGCCGCGCCTCAACCATGCGCGCCGCACGCTGCCTTCTCCACCCGCTGCGTAGGCCACACCTCTCCTAGCTGCGGGCTGCCACAGCGTCAACACCCTAGCCTCGCGCACGGGTTAGTACCATGCTGGTAGCGACGGCGGCCCTGCACTTCTTGCTCTGTAGTGAGACATGGATTTCCTTCCTCAGTTATAGCCTCTTCCATGCTAGGATTCTCAGGAACTTCTTCAGATTCAATAGGTCTAACACAACCAGATTCTTCACCTAACAGGAACTTCGCTCAGACATTTAGATAGGAAGAACAGATGTATGATAAAGAGATTAAATTCACATGCTGAAGATTGTACCTGTTATGGGTCTTAAGTACATCTCTTTGTGCTTCAGAAATGTCAAGTCTATAATTGTATATTCAAATCCAGATTAGTGAAGTCTATCATACTGAACACACACACATGCATTCTACAATGCTTATGAAATCTGATAGCACGTAAATCTGGTTGAGCTGTGGCAAAATAAAGAAAATGAACTCATATTACTTGTTCATTTGTACAGCTAGCAAGCAAATTGAAGAATTTTATTGTGCCCATTTAATAGTCCATAACCGCTTAAGTTCAGGTAGCTGATATGGTCTTCCAAAAATGCAGGCTCATCCATCTCCATGGACCATGGTTAATGTTATTACAATTACAGTAAAATCTCTTTCTATAAAGTAGTAAAGGATATTAGCAAGGACATATCTTGTTCGAAATATCTTGTGGATCTAACTGTACATCTGATGGATGCACTCGTAAAATGACCAAGGTCAGCAAACATTGCTTCACTGCCTGAAAAGTGGAAAGTAGACATGGTGATTAAATCCTAAATGGCAAACAGGTTATAAAAAAAACAGGAAGGGAAAGGTAAACATGATACATCACTCCACTGTCGTAGAAAGAAGGATCCCTCCTAAAGCAATCCATCCATCTTTACCTGTCTTTTTAAAGAACTTAACCTTATAATATGGAGACAGAGCCTGATATATATTTGGGTTCCAATGAAGAATGCTGTATAAACCAATTCCTCCAATGGGAAGCAGCCAGATGATTACAATTGGTGCAAACATGAATGCAGTTCTTACTACCCTGGTGTTTGCAAGGCAAATAGACCAACCAACACAATGCACGAAAGGAGAACTACAGAACCTGGATAGGACACAAATTGCATGTGAAGCACAACAGGATCAACTTCTGAAGTAAATAAATTGGCTGGTGATTGTAAAAAGTATGACAGAATCTCTAAATGATAAAAGGTAATATTCATAAAAGACACAGAAATACAGAAAAAAATCATGGTCAAATGACAGAAGGTGGATGTATCCAGAAGCAAAAAAGAGAGGAAAAAAACAGGGATCCAGAAGCGAAATTGCACTATAAAAGCAACAAGTGAGTCAAGACAGAAACAAGGGGTGCATGCAATAGAGCCAACAAGAATATGATATAATCCACGGATAGCAAGCACAATACTTTTAAAAATAATGAGTACTGTGAGATAGTAATGTCCAATTTCTTAGTACAATGATCAAAATCATCAATATTTATTCAAAGCACTGGAAGAAATTCCAAACAAAGAGCATAAACCCCAAGTGAACCCTTCTTTTCCAAAAGGGAATATCAAATGTATGCTAACAGTGGCTTATAGACCTGCAATGTCTAGCAACTTGAATTACACACCTTCACAATCGTTCACATGGGATTCACACATTCTTTGATCCATAAAAAATATTTAACTTCATATATGTTGTATGAGAGATGGAACCATCCTAAATAGGAAGTACAGTACTTGAGTGTCGTCAACATACCTGTCAAAAAGACCAAGTCTGATGATAACATCCACAAGATTCGAATTAGCCTTCCCCACAAGTTGAAAGAGTTTTTTTTATTTGCATGGTGAAGTTGCCAGTTTTTTCCATGACACGATTAATTTCAGTGAATTCCTCAACCATATCATCAACCTATCAAATTAGTATTTTTGGAGTTCAGAACTTCTAGACAAAGCTTTGATGATACTGTCACAACACATAAGTTCATTAACTTAGCATAATTTTAGTACCTGTCGAATATAATGATCAAGGGTGATACTTTGACCAAGAACGCTTGAAATTATGCAAATCCCATCTGTGTCCAAACTTTTAAGAACTATATAATCAAGACCTCCTTTCATCCATGTTGTCAAGGATGGTTTCTCAACCACTGCATAATCTGTCCATGCAAAATAGATGGCACTGCATCTTTACAAAGTGTCAAACAACGAAATTCCAAGGGGCATATGCCAAAGCATCACAGTGACCAAAAAGCAGTGGCAACTTATTTCTGCTAAACAAAAATGCACACAACGCACAGCCTAGGCATGCGATGATTCTCTTTAAGTTGAGTTCTATCACAGTTACCAAATAGGTTCTTGAATATAACAGAAGGCAATTGTACTGTTTTCTGTCCATGCAGATGTTATCAAGGAACACAAAAATGGAGGCAAGTAAAAAGCAGTAAACAAACATAGTTTAGCAGTGAGCAAACTGGGCATACCATCTTTTCTCGTCTCTGGAAGCCATCCTAAAGCATGCTTCCTAATTATATCAAGATAGTACTCACCTTCATGATCAGCAATGCTGAAAAGCACAGCAGAACCATACTGGAAAATAATCTCAGGTGGGAACTCGGAGTACCAAAGCGCAATGTAGTTAAGCGAACAGGTCGGCGAAGGTACAATATCATTCCCGTGCTCCGCTTGCATGCTCTTCAGATCAATGCTGCCATGGCGAGGAGGAAAAATTGGAAACACGTCATTTTAGTTCGCAGCGCCAATTCGGCATTGGCATCTCTTCAGAATAGCACGGTAGGACCGAATGTTTCCTTGCTGATAAATCATAACACACCTATCGAGCAAGCGCTGGAGCGATGCTGTGTGCTTACCTGGTGGAGAGGAAGTAGGCCTTGATGAGGATGTAGCGTGCCGGGCCCTCGTCCTCCTCCTCCTGTGGTGGCGCGAGTGCCGGGGCCGACTCGGTCCCCACGTGAATCCAAGCCCAGTACGCCAAGCCGCCGAGACCCGAGTCGCGAGCGTCGTGGGGCGCGATGGCCAGGGCTGCCGAGGCCGACGAGAAAAGGCTCGAGAAAGGCGATACGTGAGCGGCCGCGGCGTTGGACCCCGCTGATCTAGCACCAAAGGATGGGGCGCAGCTGATGATGGGGATGGGGAGGGGGCGCCATCGGATCAACAGGGCGATGGGGAGGGGGTGCCATCGGATGCCAGGGCGATGGGGAGGGGGAGCTGCCGGATCCCAAGTTGAGGAGGGAGCACCGCCGGACCTACAAGGCGTTGGGGAGGCCCCGAGATGGCCGACTCCCATGGTGGCGGCGGCCCCTCCCACCGGCGGCGGCGGCGGCTCCATGGCACTGGGATCGAACCGTGGCTGCGCCCGCGTGGGGGATAGGGAGGAGGACCGTCGAGGACCCCTCTCGCCGACGCGCCGCCCACGGGGGTGCCGTAGCCATGGGGGCGTGAATCAATTCCTTCCATTTTCCAGGTGGCATTCAATGGCTCAGTTTACATCTATTGCACGGTGGCATACGTTGAGGTGTGATCGCCTTGGTCCCGCATGGAGTGGCATTTTCAGGGAAAGGGTGGGGAAGCGCCGGGCGGGATCGCATGCTTCAGCGCGTCGGGTACCTACGGGATCGCACGGGAAGGCAGAGCGGCGTACCAAATAATTGTTGCACCATTCGGTGGTCTTACTTTTATTTTTTTAGTTGTAGGAGATATACTGAGGATAAAATTTGAGAAGTGAATTGAAGATGAGAGATATACTTATATACAAAGAGAATATTTATTAAATGGCTCTCCAAGCAAAGATATAAAAATAAGAGCATCTCTAAGAGCCTTTCTAAATCTCACTCTCTAAATTACCATTTGGAGAGTCATTTGCATAAAAATCGCTTTCTATATCTTTTCACACTCCAACAGTTTTTCTATATCTCATGCGCACTCTAGAGAGTCATTCTCGTCTTATATTTTTGGCTAACGAAAAATCCGGAATAGAAGATGGCTATATTTGAATGACCATTTAGATAAGCTGTTAGATGTTAGTTTTTCACCAAAATCTCTATTCCTACCATTTAGGAAGGATATGAAGAGTCTCTTGAAGATGCTCTAACAGAGACTCTTGAAGTTGCTCTAGATAGTGTATTGAAGAGTGCCCACCATATCAGACACAACAGGGAACGGCTTATAAGAAGTTCAAGGAACGCAATGCACCAGGAAAAGTGGCTCAGCATCTGATCCATTCCTGTCGAATCCAAATGTATAGAAGCTTCGATCCGTACATATTTCTCAAAACTCACTCGCCCAGTTGCTTTGGAAGCTTTTCTTTTTTTTTTCAAATGAAATCAAATTAAATAAAAGGAAATAGATCAAAGACTCTAAATCTGGATGACCAAACCAGCCACATCTGGCCCATATGTACCTCTAAAATCCGCATACCCATTGGTCTCACTATGTTAGAATAGCACTTCACTGCCGGTTCAAAATACTCCATCATTATCGGATTTTGAACTGGCATAACCATACAGGTAGTGATGAGTGTAAGCTATCACTGTTGGTTCCTACAAACCTGCAGTGTTCTTCAACTTCACTGTCGGTTCTTTACACAACCAACAGAGTTCAGTTCTACCAACACTGTCGGTTCATAAGATCACCCGGTAGAGTTTCAGTTCCACCAACACTATCGGTTTATGACAAGAACCGGCAGTGATGGCTAAGCCAACGCTGCTGGTTTGTGGCTCCAGCCGGCAGTGCCATCACTGCCGGTTTGTTGCTAACTGATAGTGATGTTTACGACAACATTGCTGGTTTTCTGCTAACCGACAGTGATGTCACGTTCGCATTTTATTGTTTTATAATTTATTTTAATTTATATTTTTTCGTGGAATCAGGTTTCTCTTTATATACGCTACGTAGACGATAGGTCCATCAATATTAAACATTACAAATGTTACGGTTACAGTTCAAATGTTCTTATCAAGATCTCGATCCTTCAAAATAAAAAAAATGTTCTCGGACTTCATAGATTGTGCAATGCTTCTCGGACTTCTTACAATAATCTGGCAAGCCGCTCTGGGCCATACTAGTCATTGAACTTCATGGATTGTGCGATGGAAAATACTCCTTTTTTTTTCCAATACCTCAGCTAAGATGAATTTTGCCAGCGACGATTGCAGCGCGACGATCTCCATGTCCAACAGCCTTTCATGGTTATATTTCTTGCGCTGTCGTTCAAAAAAGATGATATCCAAAGAGGAATCAGTAAATCATTTTGTTGAATGATTAACAGACATAAATGAAATGGGGATTATACACACCAACTTATCGGCTTCTTCCGATTTTCTGCTGATGTAGCGAAGCATTGCCCACATTACATAAAACCCGCATTCATTATTTCCCGCCGGCTGTTTTAGGTACTTCCCCTCCATTTTGACAACCTTGAATGGGACCTGCGTCCCATCGATATGTCTTCTTTGGACACTGAGCAACATTAAAAGGAGAAACGTTAGAAAGCGGTATGTGTGATTAGAAAATAATATGTTATTAGGATCGCTTACTAATTCAGCACTGCCACCAGTGTATCCAGATGATGAAATGGTTTTTTCTTCGAGTCCCATACCTCGATCAGATTTTTGGTAAGATTAACACTAATGAAGACGAAATGGTGACTACAATCATAGAATCATAATTATTGAATAATCTTAATGAAAAAATAAGCATAAAATTAAAAGCTGAGAACACATACTCGCAGTTGTAGGCTAGAAGTATGTGGGTTTTGTTCTTCATCTTGAATTCATCGAAAATAGCAATCAATCTCTGTTTTAGGTCTTCCACGTCACATCCATAGAGGCCTAGACATGTCTTCTCATTGACTCGCAAGGGGTCCAAGAAGCCTATGTTATCCAATTTGCTTTTTAGAATGCAAAATTTTGTTATACACCTACATAACATCCTGGGAAGTGCTCAAAAGTTAACAATTTGTTTCCCGAGAGAGTAGTTAATTGTATTATCATGCGTGTAGGGTACTTACATAGTCCACAACGTCAACATTTGTGTATCGAGGGAGCGTTTCTGGTATAGCTGGAACAAGCACTCCCACTCGACATCGAACTTCTCTTCTTCAGGATAATGAAAAACATGTGGCGAACGGATAATAACCTCAAAACTAAAGTCCTCTGTCTCTGTTGTTTGAGCCATGTAATATTAATACAACTGGCGCATATATGTTGTCAAATTTTTATACTCGTGATCGGGAACCAAAAAATTGCCCCTTTCATATTTCATTGCCGGTGTTCCCGTCCCTTGTACATCATAATAGATGTTCGCGGCCTCTTCCATGGTTAAATCGGGGTTGTCTTCGACGAACTTCTGTATCTTTCTTAAATCTTCATTGTGTATTTCATCGACTCTTGTTGTAGCATACTGATTCTATGTTTACCTTTCGAATTCGGACTTCAACAAAAACGGAGGCAGTGAGGCACAGAGATTGAAGAAACTAAATCTTCCTTCGAGATGTGTGCTGTAAATTTTCCTTCCATCAAGTTTGTAACGCTGCCACTGAACGACCTTTTCTTTTTTGTTGGTCCACTTTGGGAGCATTAGCGACCGAATCCAAGGACCTTTTCTGCGACTGCGAGGATGCCTTTGATCTTGTTTTGGGCTGAGGTGGTGGAGGAGGATGACGACGAGAATTCTATTTTCCCGAGGCTAATGAAGATGGAGGAGGAGGAGGAGGAGGAGTCTTCTCTTTTTCTCGGGGCTGATGAAGATGGAGTCAGACGAGGAGGAATAGAAGGAGACCTCTGTCTTCTTAGGGGTGATGGCAAGGGATGAGGAGGGGAGTGATCTCTGTTGGGAGATGGTGAGTGATCATCATGGGTGGGCGAAGACTCATAGTCGTCCTCATCATCAGAGGACAATTGGTGGTCAAGCTTAATGAAGTGCTTGCACCAGGCCACTTGAGAGCCTTTGTTATGACCAAGTTTCGGCCTGTCTTCCGCTATGGGGTACTCAATGTGTATCTTTTTATACTTCTTATCAAGTATTCTGTCAATGGTGACACGAGCGTACCCCTGTGGAATTGGGTGGCCATTAATGGTCCCGTCTCTCGCAGACCAGGCCTGGCCGAGCGCCACCTTGTCCTTTGTCCATTCCTGACGGATGTACAACTTGACATTGACGGGTTCAGTGATGCCGTCCACCGGATGAGGCACATTCGAATCTTCTTCGTCGAGCAGGGTCGATCCGCAGCTGCTGCGATGCCTAAACCATGGGCTAAAGGCAGTAGGAGTAGGGTTTTGTGGTACTCCTGATCCCTTGGACAACAAAATTTGCTGGACTCGTGCTTCAACAGTCGCCTCAATCCGTGCGTCCATTATTTCTTCCATCTCTTTTAGTTGCCTCAAATACTCTACCTCCTGATCGGCTCTACCCCTCGAGTGGCTCTAGCAAGTGTTAGATTCTTGGGGGAATGCTAGTTTCCAAGGAACAACACATGTTCCTCTAGTGCGACCAAGGTGCTTCTTGGTTCCGAGTGCTTGGGAGAGCACGTCTTTCTCCCTATTAGAAGTGCGAGTCCCTTGCCTCACCTCCTTAGTTACCTGGGAGATCCTCTAGATGAGTTCGCTTATGGGTTGATTTGTGGAGCTAAAGTACCCCGTCCTCTGCGTGGCGTACATTCCTCCCCATATAGTATATTACTGATCTTGGCTCCCAATCGGTGGTCTCAACCTGAACGCCTTCCTTAGCAAGGCGATCCATCTTTTGAAGTTCTGCTTCAAATTCTGGCATCTTTTTGGCGTAGCCACGAGAGCCGAGATGATGAGGATTCATCGCTTTCTATGACTTCTCCTTATTCTTCCTGCTTAGTTCTAAGTACTCCTCGGATAACCTGTAATCCTTGAAATTATGCCAGAAGTCCTTCTACTTGCTAAACTATCCACCATCAAAATCTGGCTCTTTATTTTGGAGGACAAAATTCTTGTACAATGTCCCCATGAAATTCTTGAAGCATGTCCCCATGATTTCTTTTGCTTTTTTCTTAACTAACTCCTTGTCATACTCTGTTGGGAAGGTGAAATACTCTGGGATCTTGATATCCCATATGTAGTCCTTCTCACTTTTGGGAACCCTCCATGGGTCATCATCTTTCCCAATCCACTTCCTGTACCTAATCGGGTTGAAGTCCCTAACAAGTAACCCGAGGATAGTGTTGTATTTGGTCAAAGCTATAGGTGGTGAGAGTGGATCCCTGAATTCATCGAACTCAGTGATGTGCCAGTGTTCATTCCTACCAACAAGAATCTTTGACACGTCTCGCTTGGATGTGGCCTTCCTGCTACCCGAACCCTC